TAGTGTAAACAGAGCTTAAAGTCCTGTCCAGACTATCAAATTTCATTTGACAAAAACATGTGACATGCCTAAATATGGTAATGATGACATCACATCATGACCATATATAGACACATCGTGACTATATATGGGCACATCATGACCATATATAGGCACATCATGACCATATATAGGCACATCATGACCATATATAGGCACATGAATATATATGGGCACATCATGACCATATATAGGCTCATCATGACTATACATGGGCACATCATGACTATATATGGGCACATCATGACCATATATAGGTGCATCATGACTATATATGGGCACATCATGACCATAAATAGGTGCATCATGAATATATATGGGCAGACAACAGCTTTTTTTCAAAGAAAACTTGACAGTGTGGACAGAACATTAGAATAATACCATTAGCTGGGGTGAATCCTCCTTCTTCAATGCCTCAATGATTGGAAGAAAGCGAGGCCTGTTCCTAAGCTCCTGTACTTCCGACAGAGCACTCAATACCTTATAATGCCTGAAAAAAAAGGTACATAATAATTACTATTGAAACTTTAACTCTATTTTTAAAGTACCATCATCCGGGCAGGAGAAATTATGGAGTCGGATTTATAACAACGGGGCAAATGTATTGGTGGTATTCATAGGATGCTTGTCCCATATGCACATTTAGAAATTACTTTATATAGTAGAACCCCCTATTAAGAGGATACCTTCTGGACCAAATGTACCATTAATAGGAGTGAACTTAGAATAGGTTTGGCTATAGAGTGTTAAAATCAGGGGTGGATCCAGAGATGTCCAAAAGGGGGCCCCCAAAAGGTGGGGGGGGGAGAAGTTGGGCAGACGAGACAACACCATCCTAGGGGGTTGGGCCTCCCAAAAAGGGGGAACCGGGGCCAGGCCAGCCCCTCTAAATCTGCCCCTGAAAATACATATTCATTTGCTCATTTCAAGGCCAAAAAAGTATGCAAGTAATAGGGATGTTCCAGATGAGAGATTCTACTGTGTTAATAAATTCTATGGAATTATGCCTACTATATCAAAAAATAAGAATTTGTTAATTACGACTCTATGAGCCACAAATTTTTAGATATTGCTAATGTCTAATGTAGTACGCTCATTGAGAGCATAAATAAACGATAAGCCATACGCAGCCAGTGGAGGACGCCTGTTGCCATTCAGTGGATTACCCATTATTGTGCATGGTTTGTTTATCTGTTTTCCACATGATACAATACTTTTGCAGAAGGTAGTAGATTTCTCCTTATTTTTCTTTATCATAATACCATCGAAACAGGCGCACTTCCTGTCAATGTAAACTCAAACACAGTGGGTGCACTCCATAACAACGATGGTGACTTCCATCGTAACTAGGAGAGTGACGTATTTACAACCGGGAGTACGCTCACTTGTTCTATTTATACTCTCTGGTATTATGTCAATGGTAAAAATAAATTCTGCTATTGAACAGGGATATAAAATTTAAATCAATGAAAGATTTGAACCTACCCATCAGGGACCAGACAGACAGGTGCCATGACCTTGAGGGCATCTGTCATTAAGTTCTCAAATCTGGGGTTAATGCAGCTGGCGACATCTACCAGGACCCGGTCGTTTTTAAACACTGTGGAGATGCCGAATCCGTTGTTCATGAATGCTTTGAGGCATTTGATACACTCATGTTTGCTGTCAACTGATTTGTGGGTCGTCCTGAAACGTTAAAAAACACAAACAAGGTAAAATTGTATTCGTTACAGGCAATTCTATTTTTATTTAAAATAATTGATATTGGAGGATGACAGATTCATGAGACACAGTATAAAAATTTCTCGCCTTACACGGTGTTCCCAAACAACCACCCCTATCTAACCTACTAAGCTAAACGAGAGCCTTGCAGGCCTCAACGTTCCTATGCATGATACATGACATTATCAGAAGATATAAGGTTGGGTCAAATTTGTGTGGTGGTTTAACTAGAACAATTCAGGGGGAATGAGTTTTTATGGCCCAAAATAGTGATTTTAGACACAAAATAGTGATTTTAGACCATATTGGTAATGTTGTTTGATGGGCAAATTACAGTAATATTTTTAGCACACAACAATTTTGTAGA